AGCGGTGATGTGGTGTAGAGGAAAACAGACAAGGCAGGCGAACATCAAGGTTATGGCAGCGTTGAGTAAATGTATAATGGACTAATCCACTTTCAGGGGGAACGCTGATGAGAATAGTGCAACATGGAGCCTCGTGCTGTGACCCCAGATAACATTAGGACACTTCTTTTTAACCTGTGTATAATGTCCTTATCTTCTCACAGGCAAAGTTCTCAAAAGATGTGTGGTGTACTGTATGTGTAAGAACATGCAGAAAGAACATACATACTGTATGTGTAAGAACATACAGTACATGGGGAAGTTAGTGAAATCTATCTTAGTTTGGAACTATACAATTTTACTTGTGGACAAATAATAGAGCATGCCACTGCTGTGTCTCTGTGAATACTGTATGTTCCCAAGTATAGCCTTAAAGTGAAAGCTGATTACTTTTCAAATGTTTAAGATGGAGAGGCAATTTTTTGAATGCAGGCGCCAGTTAGACCTGCCCCACAGGCTCCTGATTAGACTATTTTACTTTATTATTTTAAATCCTTGATCGACAGCTGAGGCCCCTTTCCAATTTGGTCAAACTATTCTCCTCCAGCAAATCTTACTGGTGGTGGTTATGCGAAGGAGAGGAGCTGCTTTAAAAGTTCATGAACACTACTTAGTTTAAATGATACTACAGTGGCATGTGGTCAAAAATAAGTATTCATATAAAAAAGAAAGAACTTTTCACTTCCAAGTGTCATGCCACTTCCAGAAAGGAAAATATTATTCAATTATAGTACAATAATAATATTACTAGAAGTCAACAGTTATTACTGGTATGTACAATAAGGCTGTTTATGTTATGTGCAGAATATGGACAGAGCAGATAAAAGTGTTTTTCTATATGTAAAACCAGAAGAGTAGCATTGTATTTGCTGAGTGACGTCTCTTTGTCTCATCTCGATCATTTTAGCGATTGTTTTTTGCTGAACACACACCTCTTTATCTCAGACTCTGACAGCTCCAAACAGAATTGAGCACTTTGAGTAAGTAAGCACACAAGCCATTTAAGCCAATATGATCAAAGATAATCACACAAAGGCATTCCAACAGATGATGCCATCAGCAGCCAAATCACAGATAGGCAACTTAAGAGCACAAAGATCCTATCATTCTCCATTTAAAATGATCTTGTTGTAATACAGAGATATTTAGGTAATACACTGTTGCCCATGTGGACTGTTACTTTTTGCACTTTCTATAAGGCTTCTTTGGTTCTTTACAAAGCCTATTTAGTTTTGTATTAAAACAATGTTAAGTACCATCAACATTACATTAAAAATAATGATAATTGCCTGATGATGACTGGAGAGCATGAGCCATCAGGACATATTAATAAAAAGGAGCCCTGGGTAATGTCATTATCTGTGTTTGTGCTGCTAATGACACTGAACAGAGAAACTGCTCAAACCCAGATGTTCAGAGTTTGTTATAAAGAATTACGATTACTCAGCCAACTTTATATGTCTTATTTTAAAGAATGCAACGTTACGACCACATTGACCTGTACCCAAATCTGTTAGAAGCAATCGATTACAATGGGTGAATGAATATTATGTGTGTGTGTGCGTGTGAATATTAGTTCTAAATACTATAGAAAACAGAAGTTCACATACAGTATAGTAAAAAAATACTTATTGTCTTTTCTCACCTGTTTTAGGTCAGTTATAAGATAAAAGAACCTTTACTCCTCCGTGGGCAAACTGCTTCATTTAAAATCAAATTAAAAACAAACACTCAGAGTTTGAAGCGATTCATATCACAAAATCAAAGAAGAATCATTATCAAAGTGTTTTGGAGAAAGCTACTTAATCTGTGTGTCATGTCAGCGAGTTCACTACTGTGCTATTCAAATGAGCTCCGAGCACAAACACAGCTCACCACACTGGACCATGTTCTGCACTCAACATCCAACACCCCATGGAGCCAGTCAGCAAGGAATTACCCGGGAGCAAAAAACAACAGCAAGATAATAGACCGGCTTCTGTTTTCCCACACATCTATGCCCCAAACAAAAAATATTGAGCCCAGTAAACATGATATCCACCCGAGTGAACATTGCTGTGCATACATTTAGATATTGTCTTGTGAAGATATGTGGACTTAACACTTTAATCTGTTGAGGAATGAACAATGATAGCAAAAATAAGCAATACTCTAAAAAAGTCAGTACATTTTTTTTTATCTCGTTATAGGTTGTATTGCTTTACCTGAGAGGGTCCCCAATGTGGTTGAGATATATATTTATCTTTATGGTACAAGTGAACCCACAAAGCAAAGGCAGAGGGCATGCACGTGTTTGTCTGCAATCACAATTTCATTTAATTGAAAAAATCGACAGCCATTTCACTGTAACTGCTGCTGTCAGACTCCCCATTCTGGTCTCTTCATGGACCTTGGCAACCTCAGCGGCTCCACTACAAGTCGCCTGAAAAACCTTGGAGTCACTTTTGATGAAGGGGTGTCCCTAGAACGGCATACTAAACAGCTACTGTAATATTTGGAATAAGCTTGATGGCATAAGATGCACTTTTTTAGGCAATCTTTCCAGCTAAATATGTTAGGGTTAGGGTTACAGTGCTGTGTTTACCAACATTTGTACTGCATGTATTGTTTTTATCGCGCAATATGAATAACTTTCATACTTCACAAATAAAATGTCATGGGTTCGATCCTGGGCGACAGTGGCTCAGTTGGTAGAGCATTGGCCTTTGGGTCTGAAGGTTGTGGGTTCAAGCCCACCATGAGACCTACTTCACGACTCTGACCTACTTGATGACTGCTGCCGTTGTGTCCTTGGGCAAGACACTTAACCCCACTTTGCCTGAAGCCCCTGCTGAACGATCTCAGCTCCTGTGGACTCACCACCTGCAGGAGGATCAGTGAGGGGCTGGTGCTCTGTGTAATGGGTGGCATCTCTGACTGCCACCCCCCTGACCCAGAAATGGATTAAGGGGAAGAAAATAGATGGATGGATGGATGGATGGGTTCGATCCTGTGTCGGCTTTTCTGTGTGGAGTTTTCATGTTTGTTCCAGTGCGTGGCTGGGTTTGCTTTGGGAGCTGCGGTTTCCCCGACCAGTCAAAACCATAGATTACAACTTCCAGCTCTGCTATTCCAGAGCAAGTCAGGCTCCAGACAAGCTCTAGTGGCATTGAAGGATGGGACAAGTATAGAGGACAAATTTGCCTGAGGAGACAATAAAGTATAACTTCACCCTTAAGAGACCTTGATCTGTGAAAAGGAATAGAGAAGTTTACTTTCTCACTTACTGTACCTTGTGACTTTTTATATAGTATGTCATTTTTATTAACATAGCGCATTTCAGAGACCAAGGTATTTTTCAATTCTCTCCACACACAGTGATGACGGAGGTGAGACGCCGAACACACTGGCACATCAAAGCCCCAAACCGACACCATCCATTCACTCACTCAATCTTACTTATTGTTTAAGTGGTAGGGGAAACTACAGCATCCAGAGGAAACTGGAGCACCGCAGACACAGGGAGAACATGCAAACTCCACACAGAAAGGCCTGGAGGTGGAATCAAACCCAGGATCTTATTGCTGTGAAGCACAAGCTCTAACGGCTGCGCCACCATGCCGCCCGATCAATATGAAATGATATGATATATGATCAATGATAACTAACCTGATTAGCTACCCACTCATCTGGTCCATTCCCTGTACCAACTCACAGAATGAGTACTGTGAGTAAAATCAGGTAAATACAGGAGACCAGAGAAGTTCCATAGTGTCCCTTTTCAACCATGTCTTTAACTTTGCATCTCTGCAGCATCTTGTTGCTGTAGAAGAGTCTATCACTGGCACAAAGCGCAGAGATATGAGGAGCTGCTTACTCCAGAGTCTGTCAGACAAAAGAGCGTCTGTAATCCGGCCCTTGAGAGCCGCAGATAGTGGACTGTTCTTTAGCGCTGCATTGTGTTGTGTGATTGTGGCCACAAGATTGCTCTAAATATAATCATAACGGCATTTACGGGCAACAATAGGGGAATTTCAGACAGTAAAATTATCAACTTTTGTATAATGTTCCATTATACATTTCTTTAACTCCATCCTGAAAGAGTCATGAGATGCAAAATCAAGATTTATGAGTTTAGAATTATGACATAATTGTGTTTCAGAGTTGCATTTACAAGTGTTTATTAGGGGTGGGAACCTCAGGCTACCTCAAGATACGATACAATACGCGATACAAAAAACAATTTTATCACGATATAATATATATTGGTCAGAAATTTGCTGTTATAGAAATCTTTTAGTAAAGCAATCTGAATAAACACGAAAGTAATAAGTGTAATTCTCAACTCTGGATTCAAATACAGCACGTTAGCATTAATAAAAGAAAAATGTTAAGTGAAAAAATACACTTTATTTCATGATAAATGGAATAATGGAGATGCGTAATGTAGCCATATATTAAGTATTGATACTAATTTAAAAAACATATATATATATAATTATTATTTTTTAATTGATACTTGGTAAAAGCATATCAATAATCGATCGCGTGAGAAAGTATCACGATACATCACGATATCGATATATTGTCACACTTCTAGTGTTTGTGTTCCTCTGTTTTTTCCTGTAACTCTAATAAATGCTTTCTACTCTTTTACTTGATTGCAACAATTTTTAAAATCGTTAAAAACAGTCAGAAGCTATTCTTCAATAACACAAAGTACAGTCTAAGACAATCATCTGTGCTCCTGTGATAAGTACATGGTTCATTTACTTATTCACATTACAACATCTAAACTGGCACTTTTTTAAAGGGCTGACTACCTGGTTTTTACATCATTAAAAATAGGTTAAACATTTTCAAACTAATTCCTCACTTTCTAATATATTCCTCACATCCAAATTATACAAAGTAATTCCCAAGAACATGAAAATAGTTGAGAGCAAAGTAATAAAAATATCTTGTAAATAACAATGGGCTTTTCAGTTGTAGTTACCTGGAACAGCAGTGTTTGGGATGTGCAGACTGCTGTGACACACTGGAGACAAGATTGCTTTCTTCCAACTGTGCCTGACCAATGGAGACCGTGAACAAAGAAATCAAAGATTGGGACCAGGAGGAAAAAGACATACAATATATATTTACTGTTGTAAACTTTCAGAGGAGACAGGTGTATCTCAAGGAAGAGTGAGGATGCACAGAGTTCGAAAAGCAGTTTTTAAATAGAAAAGAAGAGCTTGAAGTGACTGAAGTATAATCATTCATTTCCTCGTCTATTTCAGTATCAATGTTATTCATAGATGTAACAGTACTAATTATTGTTATTGTTTGATTAATGTCGTAGTAGTATTGTCTTAAAAATAATAATATAAACTTAAATAACATATAGTTATAATAACATATAATAACAACTAAATGTTCTGGTTTCCTGTTTCAAAAAATTGTCATGATCAATCAGGTTTTAAAAAATATTATTCAATTATAGTGCAATACTTTTTGTATCATTTTACTATAGACCAGGCATATGTACCCCCAACCTAAGTTATTCAACACAGGAATAAATATTCTTTATCTACTATAAGACTACACAACTGAGTGGGGCCTTTGCACCAGGCACGCAAACTGCATTCCTGTAGTTTGCATGTTCTCCACGTCTTTCAAGTATTTGTATTTGTATTTGTAATTATTTGATCTCCATTAGTAAGGGCGCAAATGTTTAGGTTTTGTGTATCAAGCCACTCCAGGGCGTGGAACATAGAACAACCCCCTGTCAAGACCATTACAGAATTTGCTTCAAATCAGAGAAAGTCATTATGAGTAAACAGTGGATGCACAGGTGAACTTGAATCATGCGATTCATTTTTCCAATTTAAAAATACATTTAAATGCAGACGCATTTGAGCTTTCATGAGGAGGGTGCTAAAGTCCACAGAACCAAACAAAAACTAAAATACGTTCAATATGTAATAGACAATAGATAAAAAGCCTAATATGATAACTTAAAGGATAATATTGGATGCTGATCAGGTGTCAACACTTGATGAGATTTTAAGACACTGGCTTTCAGCGGAAAACATTTGGACAAAACGGGTATAAGGAGTAAGCTTTTGGGGATATTATTCCAATAATGTTATAGATACACGCTTGCTCTAAGTGTGTAACTACAGGACAGTAGCTGACCACTCTGTGATCGGGACAGAGGGGGTGTGGAAAAGATTACAATTTGAAAAAATATTACAATAAATCCATGAGCAATAAAGGCTAGGCAAAATATGCATTAGCTTCAGCTTAAACTTTTTTGGTCCTTCTGTTTGTTGTTCACGTTGTGGAAGGATGTGTGTAAATAAATGCACAAGTGACTGAAATATGCGATGAGTCACATGTACAGTATTCAGTGGGATCATACTGGGAGGACATGGAGATCTACCATGTCATCTTTAGTGTTTCTATTTACTGAAATAATTGTTAACCAGCATACAGCTATAGACCACCTCATACTATGTGTAAGATCTAAATCAATGAAGGCATTGAGCTGTTGTGTATCTGATGTGCACCGAGGAGCATAAATAGAATCCATATGATTAACAGTCTATGCACATTATTCGTTATTGGTAAAAAGCTGCATAAAAAAGCCCTGTGCCTGACTTTTAACCCCTAAATGGCCGTTACTCAGCCGTACATGAACTACCGCTATCACCACACAAGCATATTTAAACATGTACTTACACCACAGGAGGATAATGGTAAGGTGACAGGAGATATCCAGGAGCTTCTTCGGCAGGGCAGATGTTAAGAGGTTCAAGGGGGGGACAGCACTTTGCCTGATTGGTCCTGGTCCCGGGGGAGATGGGTGGTATGTGGACATATGACATCATAGCGTCCTGGGACAAGAGAAGGGAGAAGAGGTGGAAGGTCAGAGAGGCAAGAAGAGGAGCAATAGATGGTGACCGCACCGCCTTAACAGAGGTCAACTGTGCATTGTCCTCTGGCCGTTTTAACCCTTGTGTTATCCTCAGGTCAAATTGACTTGCCACAGTGAATTAAAAATAACCTAAATAAAAACATTTCAAAGTGAATTTTGATGATTTTTCCGAACTTGACCAGCCCTGGGTTATATAGACCCTTTTAGCCCCTAATTTAGTCACAGTGATGGGTCATTTTGACCCAAGGGTAGCACAGTATTTCCTTTATTACATCTACAGCTGTTGCTTTAAGCACAGATGCTGGATCAGGAGAGGTTTATGTCAGTGTTTCCCAACCAGGGGTATATGAACAGCTACAATTGCAACTTTTAGGGTTGTCAAAAGTATAGTATGAAATGTATTTAGAACTACAGCTAATAACCAAACAAATTTGAGCAAGTACTAAAAATAATTACATAAGCTTTATCAGGAGAACTATCCTGTAAAATATGACACCATCAAGAATAATATTGTTTTGAATTGAAAATGGACAGATTATTCATAACTAATTGCAGTGGTATCGAAAGTGGTATTGAGTGTTTTTCCTCGAAAAGAAATTGAGTTTGAACTTTAGTATTGGGATACACTAGAAGCTTACCAGCTTTATGTGTTAAATAAAGGAATAATCCACAAAAATGTAAGCATGATGGCAACTGTATGGGTAACTATATAACTTACTTTTCCTGAAACTCACTTGTCACAATGGGTAATAAGTTTTGGAATTAATTGAACATAGTTCCTTTAGCAACAATTTACGTATGGTGTATTAATGAGAAGATATGACCAGTATAGACATGGGACTGAGTAATAACTCTGTAGCCTAAACAAGCCTTGTGGACAAAGTAAATGCAACATCTCACAAAATTATTCATATTTTACATAAAAACCTTGCAGAGAAAGTAAATATCTGGATAAGTGAATGGGCAGGTTAAGAGAGATTCTTAAAATGTCTTTCTTTCTCTTACATGAATTTCAACATTATGGTTTGGACACAAGTTAAAATAGGTGAAAAGCCTTTACAGTATTTTGTTAGTCCACTTTCTTGTTTTTGAAACAATACATTTTATATTTCCTTTTACTTTGCGTTTCGGAAAGTAATGGTGCTTGTAATTCTCTGTCAGCTAAAAACGTATTCACTTATTTAAATGGCTTGGTGGAGCGAGCTTGATATTTTATTACCACCATTATATAATAAATCATAACCTATACTCCATGGAGCATCTGAATATGAACATGCAGTAGAAATCGTAAAAAATGAAGTGTTTGCCTCACTTTTACTACTGCATGCAGGGAGACTGGGCTGATTTATGGATACGTGGACGCATGAAATGGAAATGGAGGCGGCTTTCTTGTCACTAAACACTGCTTAGAGTCCTTCTGCTAATGGCTACAGAATGGATTGATGACGGAGAGTTAACTGTAACATTGTGACGGGTACATGCAGGGGAGAAGAGGCACCTTGTAGCCAGACTGTGCACGCCACATTACACCAGCTCATTGTCTGGATAGTTTCAGCTGATTATTGGAATACTATTGTAAGCATAGGTGGGTACAGTGGACCAAAATTGACTCAAGAAATAAAAAAAGGTATATTAAATATAGTTTAAGTTGAAGACCCAAGGAACCACATGGTATATTAAAGTCAGTTTCGACAAACTATTGTGGTCTTTGTCAGAGCATAATGTTAATTTGGTAAACACTCAATTAAACAAACAAAAAAGATAATTTAAAGATTCATTTAAAATGAATGTAATATGGGGAACAAAACATAACAAAGGAAAAAAGAAATCATATATGAAGGAGTGGTGCAAGAAATGTCGATTTTTTTATTTTGTAAACACATTTATACAGCACTTTTCCACCACTTCACATGAAGGAACCCATCACCAATTCATACACACATTCATTCATACACCAGTATACACACACACAGGGGCGAGGTGCGCAAGCGTCTTGCCCAAGGACACATTGCAGCATTCACCAATGGAAGCTGGTTTCACAACTGCCAACCTGCTGGTCAGTAGATCGGTCAATAGAGCAATATTGTGTGCCATATGCAGGATTCGAACCGTCAACCTTTAGTAGTTGTATTCACTGTGGGAAGTGTACAACTACTAGTACTTAATATTGTGAGGCCATCTGGGACAATATTTACACAAACAATTCCACTATACTATACAGATGACAAACCAGTTTTTACAAGCGGCACGGTGGCTGAGTGGATAGCACTCTTGCCTCTCAGCAAGAAGGTCCTGGGTTCGAATCCCGGCCGGACCAGGGCCTTTCTGAGTGGAGTTTGCATGTTCTCCCCGTGTCTGCGTAGGTTTCCTCCGGGTACTCCGGTTTCCCCTACCACTAAAAATATGTACAATAGTTCTGGCATGCGCCTCCTGTTCGGCGACCCTGCTCCCATCTCTGTGTGGAGTGAGAGACAAGTGCCCAAAAAATAACAATTGTAAACCGCTTTGTGACTCTGGTCTGTGAAAGGCGGTATATAAATAAAGCTTACTTACTTACTTACTTACAAGCAAAAAAAAAAAAGGCCTGTTGCGGTCTCTTCATAGAATCACTGCACATAAATCTTTTCTGCTTAAGGGTCTGTCCTATGCTTGTAGTTCTGGAGAAGTTACTGGTTTGTCTGGAATATCCCACGTTGTGGCATTAAATGTATCTCTCTCCATGGAGACAAGCTGCTAGTTCAGGCTCACAGTAAATATGCATGACAATAAACCTGTATAGTATAAAGGTATAGGGTGGGTCACAATAATAATACTGACTATGTTTCAATTCTTTTATATTTAATGCGTGCATATTAGTTATGATAATAATGGGTCAATTATTAAATCAGACCTGATACACCCGTCTGAGTGTCCTTAGTAGTTTATTTTTTGAGTCGTCCCTTGCTAATATAGGAGGGTCTAAGAACAGTTTATGCACATTTAAGGACTTGTATGCACATTTATTAACATTTATGGATATCTATAGACACAGCTGTCCCTTGGACCAATGTGTTTGTTATCATTACATCTCCAATATTGAGCTGTTTGATTCTGTCCTTACATAGATTTTCCACTGCTGCTGTGTTTTAGGGCAATAACAAAAATAAATGGAAACAGATTTGAACAAAATTTCGACAGGGTGGATTACCTCATAGTCGGGTTCGTTATAATCACATTTGAACCATTGTAGAATTTGTAGGACTTGCATTCGTTTGTTTTGAGGAAGTTACCCAAAGTCACAGAAAGTTAAATAAACAAAGAGAAGCTCTTGTTTTTAATATTGGCATATTGTGATTAAACAACGAGACATATTGGATTTTTCTGATGTAATTCATTGACATGTTTTTAATTTAGTAGTTGGCTCCATACGCTGCGACTGGCACGCGGTGTGAGACATTTCCATCAACACCTGTTCCCATTACCACTGATGATATTTAATTAGACTACAACTAATGTTAAAAATGTCAGCAATCCTTCCTCTGCAGCACGGAGAATGCCATGAGTGTTTCCTATGATTGTTGTGGTATTTTAATCAGCTACAGACTGACAGCGCAAGTCTGTTTTGGAGTGTCTATTACATTCCAGATTGAGCCAAAATACAATCAATTCCGAGTGAATTCTTCAGTGATTTTCCTTTTGAAAGCATAATGGAATCGCTTAGCTGCGTATTGTAGCTTATGTCAATAAAGCTAAGCCAGAGGAGAGAAGAGAGGGCTGACTGGAAGCTGTGTTTATTGCATTTAAATCACTCATGCATCCTAAGTGACTCTTTATATTTGATACACGATAACATTGGGACTTGGTGTTACACTGTGTTAGAGTGGTCGTGAATGTAGTAATATTTAGCAGACAAAATGTGGTTTGGGCTTTGATCTCCGCACGCAGAAGTGTCATTTTCGCACCTTCTGTGCCGTGTCATGGTAATATCGAAGCTCCACACAATTTTACTCAGTGCTCTCACTCATCAAGTCTATTTTCCACCAATCACAGATCACACAGTCGCCACACTCAGCAAGAAAACTGTTACATTACAGAATTTATGAGAAGACGTGAACAAGAATAAATATCCCTCAAGACAAATTTAGTTTCATAGTATGAATTCATATGTTGTTGTTAGGAGAACATTTATGGGTGGTTCCATTTGTTAACAGATGAAGTTTGAAGAGTTATTCTCAGATGCATTGTTTATTGGCAGCAGAACGTTCAGGCTGAAGACACAGGTGTTCGCTTTGTTTTGAAGGCCCACATTTTGTACTCAGAGGACACCATGCAATGGACACCGTACAACGTTTCAAAACGGTGCAGGAATCAATTATCATGTCACTTTTTCATCCAATTAACCATCTGTCTTTTAGCGATTGGAAAATATGCTTTTCTATTACAGTGAACTCATCCATAAATAATAAAGGTGGTGCCTGCAACAATTAACTGTATTCACATAACTCTTTGTCGTTATAAAATGTATACATTTATTTGTATTTTTTCTGGGAAACTATAGATCTACATCACAAATAACAATAACAATGTCACAGATAAACTGGTATTGCCTAAATTGATAAGCAGCAAAATATTGCATCTATGTAGTAATTGTCCATGTTTTGAACGTTCAGACTGAAAGACGTAATATCTATGGTCCCTATCCCACCCTCTGCTAATCACGATTTGCTTCACATGCTTCTGCAGCACAAACATTATCGGCTCAAGCAGCAACCCGCCTCCTCCCCATCACCACATCAACAGTGGGACGTCATTCTTCATAACATCCTTCAGCTTCTCGACCCCAGGCTTTAGACCCAGGGGAGATTTTATAATATTTTATAATGCACTTTCATTATCTCTATTCAATTCCCTCCAGCATATGCATATTCTAAGCACCATTAAAATAATTACTTAATGTTCCAAAGTCCACAGCATCTTCCTTCTATTTTGTCCATTTCATTTTACTGTTTCCTACCAATTTAGGTCTGTCAGGAAACACATTAACTTTGTTTTCTCCGATAGTTAATCAACATGTCAGAGTCCAGACACTTCTCTGTGTGATTCGACTCCTGCTAAGGTCAGGTGCTCCTCTGATGGTTAGTTCCAATTAGACCTGTCCCTTTGCTTTGTCACTTCTGACCATCCTACTTTGTCCAGTATTTTCTCTATTGGGTGTTTCCATACATTTTAATGAGCAAACACAATTCAGGAAAGTATTAAGAGAGTACAAAAACAGACTATAAGTTCTTGCTTCATTAGAAAGAGACGTAATGCGGGAAACAGCAAGAGAGTCCTTATGGTAAGCAGAATAGAAGATTCTTATGTATAAATGGCCTAATAAGCTCTTGCCAGTAAAGTTAATTAGGGAATAGCACCTTTTCAAATTGTGTGCGTGTATTTTGAATATATTGAAACAAACAGCCTTTTTTCACTGTTTGCAGACAAATTGTCTTGTAGCTGTAATGAAGAAGAATGACTGAACCAAGGCTGCCAATTCTGGGTTATCGTCAAACTTATATTCACTAACAACACTATTTTTTTACTTTGCAGAACACAAAAAACAATAAGATTAAACACGTGAAAAAAATGTTAATTACAAACAACATATTCCTCATCAGGCACTTCAACATCAAAGAAAATACAATATCTACTGTATTTCCCTGCATTTTTCAAGTTTAATGGAAGAAGGAACAAATGAGTTTGCAAAGCAAATATTAAAGGTTTGCAATAGACACAAGGACAACACTGACCACAACTCTGCAATGGTCAGAGTCACCACTTTAGAAGACAGATGCTCAAAACATCAGCTTTCATCATCAACTATTACGTAAGCGGCACTTTTTAGACGTGGAAAATCACCTGCATGATTCTGTGGAAAATAGAAAGTAAAAATCACATTTTGGAACATTCTTAGTTGGAATATACGGCATATTACAGCCAAGGCCAGATATTCAAAACATTCAAAGCAACAGTTGCCTTTTTAAAGTTATGACCTGAGCATTGAATATATAACTGAAAATTGTACATGTTGTGTATAATGAATAGATTTTAGTTTGATATAAAGCTTTAATTTTTTGTGTACAAAATCATATTAGTAGTACATCAGGAAGGGTTCATTCAAGAAAAAAAAACTATTGATATACTTTTAATATGCAATCTTTGAATATGCTGCACAAAAATACTGTAAGCTGTTATTGGCCTTGGAATCTCGGTTGATTTCTTAATACTACTGTTTCACAGGCAAATAAGTCAGTTTTTAGTTCAGACTATTATGCAGATATGAATGCAATGACACATAATCTAAATGCATTGCAAATTTTAAATGATGAGTTCTACTGTATTTAACAATGCCCTATAAAAGAAAAATTATAAAATTGTGAGAGTCTAATAACATTTACGACAGATGCTTCCAATCGGTTGTAAAAGGAAAACATCTTCCCATATGCATTCCCATAAACGTAGAAATCAACCAGTAGGCTTGAAGTTTGCCACACAATTACTAACACAATGACTCAGTACATTGAACAGTAAAACAGGATTCCGGTCTAATAACCATTTTCTCAGTGTTTTAACACACATTGCACATATCGTTCAGTGTGTGCTCCAGCTGCTGCATAGATCCTTCCATTCTCCAAGGACATGTTTCCAGTATTGTGTCTCCAAAAACCTCTGGAGTATTTCCATTGCTCTTTATGCCACAAGTCCCTAGACATTTAAATCTTCCTCGGCTTCACTTAATCTCATTCAAGCATGTATTTCTCCATCCTCCCAGTTTGCTTTGGACATTTTAATCAGCTGCCTCTCTAAGTTGACTGGGTGGGAAGCAAGAATTGTTGGGGAGTTGCAGGTGTGATGAGGGACCAGTCTTTATCTCTAGGTTTAGCCTGACACCATGTGGCCACTTTATGAACTTCATCTTTCTGACTTTCACTTTCACAAAAGATCCCCCATCAGATCAAGTTAAGTTGTTCATTAGTCAAGTTGTCAATTACAGAAAAAGTCTTGCTTCAATACAAGTCAGACCACTAAATCCGGTTTTTCCAAATAGAAAACAGCTAGAACTGTTTTTTTTTTTCCACTAAGAAGGCTGGTCTAAAGATGTGACACTAAAAATACATGCATGTGAAGTAAAGCAGTCCAGCTTTAATTCACATGAATTATGCTTAAACACATACAAAACTGAAATTAAGTCAAATTTACCATTATATAAAGTATCATATAAAATGTAGAAATATGAAACTAATACTGACAAAAATCGGCAGATCGTGACTAATACATTAGTATCAGTCATAAAATAAATGAAGTATATATATATACTTCATTTATTTTATGACTGATACTAATTTATTAGTCACAATTTGCCGATTTTATATATATATATATATATATATATATATATATATATATATATATATATATATATATTTTTATATATATATATATATATATATAAAATATATTTTCTATTTGCATACACATATAAATTTTTGTTTTTTCATAAACTCATAAACCGGTTTTATTTCATTTTTCTTGATGCCAAACCACTTTTAATTTGAAAGTACAATGGCGGTCAGGATGATGATCTTGCCTAATATGGGTTTGTGTTTCCATCTCCGAGGCAACCAGCTGTACACATTGACAGGACATAGACGGACACAGGTGTTGCAAGATGTATAATGATACCATTTTAGCAAAGATGTATGATTGTAATAACATGCATGACATACATGTGACCTTCTGTGTCTGCAGAGTCTAACAATGGCTTTTGCTGAGGGGAAGAGTGACATGGAGCGACTAGGGATCTTCAAAGAGATGGGTTACATCTCCATAGGGGACAAGTACAACCCTCCCAACAAAAACCGTAAGCTATTCATCACTTCAGTAACTTTATCTTTCAGCAGAAAAACAATCATTATTCTATGTTTACCAGGCTGTCTGACTTTAGTCTATTGAATTAATTATTGGGATTTTGAATATTGGAAACAGCTGAGAATATATGCGAATATTATATTATGATATATAATTCAAAAAATATGAAGACAGCATGCTGTGGTCTAATTGGTCAACAACTTTACTGTCAAGACTCTTTTATGTTTGGACAAACACAATGATTATTATTATTATTATTGATGAAAAGGTAGGTACACCAACTCTAAGGTTAAATATCTCTTAGTGAATGTCATTTAGTTTACCATTCAAGTGACGGGAAAATGATTTACTGTACCTCAGTGTTGCTGACAGTAAACTGTGAGTTGCTACGGTAACCAGCAATTGCTCTTCTCTGGTGGAAAACCAAACTGAAACAGAACCAGTCCAGGACCAGTCCAGAATCAGGACCAGGACCTTGACAAAAGGGCTTTAACTGCCCTAGAAAGAAAGCCACCAAAAATGGCTCCAATTGAATTTTAGTTAAAGGTAGAACTATTCAGATTTCAAAAATAAAAGATAATTTCATGAAAATAATGAGATAGAAATAATGTAAATATGGAACCAGAAAAGGTCACAAAGTTATGAAGACCAAAGAGATTACACATACAACACAAAAAGCTGTCAAATCGACTGCTCTGGGAGTTCTAGTGTAAAGTATACCCCAGCTTTAACAGTGAACACTGTAAATTCATTTTACTTCAGGTCCTTTCAATGAGCCGGCCCACCGCAATCGGCAGATGCAGGCAGGCTTCGCTTCACAACGCTGTGCACTGCAGAACGGCTTCTTTGAGAAAACGTACAGCCGCATATTTGAGCGGGAGGCACTCAACGACCCCATAAAACTGGCTCGGCAGTATCGGAACCAGCAGGCCAAGAGAATATTGGGCAAAGCCTTCCTGCCCTCAAATGCCATCAAGAAACCGTGAGGGGAAATGGACACCCGCACTGATGACCGTCTTCTGATTGGGGTACTTACTGCTTTTATGGTTGTCCAGGTGTGGGTCAGGAAGCTACTATGGCACAATCTCTGGACCAGTGGAAGCCATGAGCCCACAGACTCTGCCCCGAAAACCACACAAGTCACCTGGGCGCAACGTCATGACCTCACCTGGCAAGAAAGGCAGTGGTTACAGGTTTATGGCAAGCAGACATACATGACAAAATGTGGTTTTAAGTGGGCCTCACACAAAAAAAAAAGAGTATTCTTTTGATATATAGCACATATATATAATAAACTTGAATCTGTTTGTTTGCAGCTATCCTAATGTGACACTGTCTGATATTGGTTTGTATGCGTCTGACCCTTACGACAGAGCCAAGGAATTTATAAAGGTAAGAGAAATATAGATTTGGCTTTGCAAGGAACCTATGAACTATATCTGAATGCTACAGCCACTACTACTACTTAATATATGGGATGCTGTAAAGTACCAAACTGCCGTTGTGTCCTTAGGCAAGACACTTTACCCCCATTGCCTAGAATGAGTCTGGTGTGTGTGTGAATGGTTGGTGGTGGTCGGAGGGGCCGATGGCACATACTGGTTGCCTCGCTTCTGTCAGTGTGCCCCGGGGCAGCTGTGGCTACAGTAGTAGTTTATCACCACCGTGTTTGGAGTGAATGAATAATGACATTTAAAGTGTCTTTGAGTGTCCAGAAAAGCGCTATATAAAACAGATGCATTATTATTATTATGCTGGCTTGAGCCACTGTCTCATGAACTTATTACTTAGGTGCCACTCCAATGTTAGTGATAGGCTAGCCAAAGTTTTGGTGGATTCTCCAAATAACTCTACAAGAATATTAATAGCATTAATGTTGTGAGGATATATATTCGCTCAGTAACCGCTTCATGGTGATACCTGCTTGTACCTGTCCACTAAAGTCCAATGAGTATAATGGCACTTAGCTGGTTTAAACTATGCAGAATGCTGTTTGTATGTTATAGAAAGAGGCATTATCTCATCGCTCCAAAGTGAAAGCCGGACCCTTCAGGTTGAACCTCCATCCAAAAGATTTTTTTCAGGACAACCCTTATCGCGGTAACAAACCTGCATCCCAGGCACATAGGACACTCCCCTCTATAGTAAAGAAAGTGGGGCCTGCACCATTCAAGCCATCCTCTCCCAGTAAACGGGTTTGTATATTCTCATACTTTGAAGAAATACAAATTATGGCAGTGTGGAATTTCAGGCAAAAAAACTGTATGTTATCAATATTAGATTGGAGGGATGAAGGCCGGGACGTTTGATTCTTACCCGACACACTCAGCTGATCCATACACCACTCGGCGCTCCAAATCCACTCCTCAGAGACCAGTCTTTCATCCAGCACCAGGTCCCAAGAGCACCCCTGTTAAAAGCATCATTATGCACAATGTGAACAGGTATCCATCTAATGTTTAAATATTTAGACACCATTATGTATATTAATTAATTAAATCCTTTGGTCTTTTTACAGGAGCGTGCACTCTGCAAATTACACCTCAACAATCCCAGCTGTTATGTCATTATGATTGTGATTACAAGACATTCATTAAACCATCTGTTTTAAGATGACTCATGAGACGTGTTGTGTCCTAATGTTTTTTTAATAATGACACAAAGGCCTGTTTACAGTTCAGGAGAAAAAGAGCTCTTTATACTCATATGGAATTTGCTGGAAACAAAATAATAAAAGGCTGTATACTTCTGTATAATAAATGCTAAGGCTGTATACTGCTTTTAATATAATATAACATGGGATCCGTTACATCATAGACGGTAGGTGTACAAGTAAAAACAGCAAGTGCATGTGTAATTTGTTGAAATTGATTCACTACTCACAACTTTGCTTACCTTTTTAACTGCTTGGAGGTTGGAACACATCATGGAACATAGGCTTATGGGTGGGAGACTTGTAGACTGAAAATATTGTGGGAGACCCCGCGAGTTTAACATTGCAGTAAATAAACTCAAACGCCCACAATGCATAGCGTCTTCTTATAAAAATAACTTCCGGCTTCCGTCCAGTCTCTCTGACTCTTCTGCCATGCGGTGTGGACGGGTCTTCGGTGCTCGCGGATTGATGGTGGGTTTTTGGCCTTAAAACCTATTTTTTTATGCACATTGTAATAGACGAATATCATCTGAGTCCATTCCACATTGACTCCAGTTAACGGCATGATTGTAATTATGTGCAATGATTTTGGTTTTTATTTCACTCATATACAACCATCTCATGTTGTGCATCGTACAATTGTTTTGGATCCATAAAGTAACTTGTGTTTTGTATATTTTCTGTTTTTTTAATTTATTTTTAGGGACGCCTTGGCCCCATTGACCAAACTTAAGGACTATGACCACGTGATGAGGTGGTTCAGATAGTCTATGGTCCAGACATCTACTGTGATGTAGAGTTGCAGGTAAATCCGCGCTGTACTTGTCTAGGACTCTCCTCCAGTTCTCAGTCAGCTGTCCAGAGAACCCCATGTCTGGATCAGTGTTACGGGGCTGGTAGATGAAGTCTCTGCACTAGTCCTCAGCTCCGTGGTCTCTGTTCTAGAGTCTGTAGTGCTGTGGAGGAGCAGAGCGCGACCTAGTGAGAGTGGCCCTCCCTGATCAACCAGCAGGGTGGGCCTAGTACGCGGCCGTACATTATACAATCTCTTATATAATGGCATTTGTGTGGGTGTATATTTTAAAATTGGTGTTTCAGTGCCAGTTGGATGCAAATGTTTCCGTTCTTGTCTACAGGTTTTGAGTGACCCATGGTTCTCCAGCTCAGTCATGAATAACTGCAGCAGGAAATCAAACGTGAGTATCTGGTAAACTTGTTCTGTCAATGCCTGCTGTGATGATTAACTAACACATCATGCTGACAAAATATCATGGTGACAATTATTATTCTGAGCTTCTGCCTGTAGACTTACCAGATGTGTAGTATTGTTTGCCAAATCTAACTGTTTTTTGTCACCCCTTTTACAGCAATGAGACTACAGCTCTTGCCTAGGTAAGGGGTCCCAAAATATGTATCCAACCAATTTGTACTGCCATGTCAGAGCCATGAATCTCTGTTGTGGAATCAAAAAATTGGGAGACTAAGTTCAGGACTTTTGGCACAGGTTTGAGTAAGATATGTTTACCAAAACCTGACTAAAGACTTGAAACAGTTAATTTCAGTCAAACATCACTATTGGTTTGTCATATTAATATTGTGTTTAATCCTTTAGCAGTTGATCCAGTGTATGGATGTTCTACAAATGAGTGAAACAGAAGCTTTCAAGCTGAAGTTGAACACTTATCGTGGCCTGGGCAGAAGAACGCGCTGGGCTGATGTCATTCATTTTCACTTCTGGCAAATGGCCACCAGATTGTGCCATGTTTTTGGTTAAATGTTTACTGATACTGTCTGAGGCTAAGTCTAATTAGAGTACAATCTGGGAGTGAATAAAGGTATTTTGGAATAAGTCTTGCAATTGAACTATGCTGTAACAATTTTGAAAAATTTTGTAACAAACATTGTAAATTTCTCCATTGTGAGATCAATAAAGTCTCATAGTATTGTGCATGTGTTTTTTCTGATTAGGAAGAAAAGGCATTACTATAAGACATGAAATGATTAAATAATTTACATCCATGAGTATTCAAATTACAACTTAAATGTACGGCAAAAACTAAATTTCAGGACTCTAGTCTGTTCTCCCCGCGTTAAGGAATTAAAATAATCTTGTCGAGTCCAGTCTGGTGCTAAGATTCGTAACCTGCGATCCCGGGGATGTTCCGCATTGGTCCAGAAGTGGGCAGGTCCAAAAGTGGAGGTGGAGTTTTTGCTACAGCCAAAGTTGGATAATTAAGATTTCCTCTGGGAAAGTTTTACCGCTCGATCAGAAGTGTGGTTTCGGTAAGTTTACCTAAACTTTCAATGCAGACTTTGCACTCGTTAATTATCGCTCGTTTACTGCTGTTTGTGTGAAAAATGCTTAGTTGGCAAAAACGCGAAGGGTCCATCACGAGATGTCCATAAGATTCCGATTTAGAGGTTTTTAACTAAATGTGTAGTTACAGTTGTTAGGCTCGACAGACCATAATCAAACGACACAGTATGCACTAATATGTGCAGATTCTACTTTGTATTTCCCGTGTTTAAATACCCACTAAGTAAAAGTTACGTTGCCTTTAGTCAATATTGTGTTTGTGGAAAAGGAGAAGTCTTCGGAGATTGCTTCATGCTCCACATGAAGACATCATCCGGACGGAGATTACATAAAAATGTGTCTACAGTCATATGTCTGCACTCCTCCACCTCATCACTGCTCTATACCCTGTTCATTTGTCTGATTTGGTGTTATTAGGCCTTGTCCCATTGGAGCCAATGGCGAAGTACCTGCGGCATTTCACTACTGTGGGGGACCAGCATCAGCTCAAGTGGGATGAAGATGAGGATCTGCACGTAGCCAGCGGAGACCTGAGTCCGGCCACAGGGCTGTTCTCCTCCGCACCGACCTTCAGGGACGCACTGAAGAGGCTCTACAGCTCCGAGCGCTTCCAGGTATTTCTCATGTCTGCATGGCCGCACATGGAGTAATAATATGCATTTACCACTGGATTTGTGACTTGTTTTAAGATTGCAGTCGTGTGTCTGGTCATCCTTGACGCGATATTTGTCCTGACTGAGCTTCTGTTTGATCTGTCAATTATCGAGCTGGAACATGACCACGTTGCTCCTGAGGTAAGCTCTAAAAACTTTTCTGAATGACTGAAAATGGTAAAATTCTTCCTGGAGAAGCAAGTGTCTCATTTAAGCTATTCTACAATTCATCACCTCTTAATGACACAGTAGTATGAAAGGCTGTATATCCTGTATATTGTACAGCTCAAAGGGCAGCTGGAGTTCAGTCCTTTCTCATGGCCAATCCCACATACCATGAACATACCATACCATGTACAGCAAAGGGCCCTCTGTGCAGGTCTTTCACTACATGAGCCTCGCCCTGCTGACCTTCTTTGTGGTGGAGCTGGTGGGGAAGCTGTTCGCCTACCGACTCGAGTTCTTCTACCACAAGTTTGAGGTGTTTGATGGGGTGGTGGTGGTCGTGTCCTTTGTGCTGGACATCGTCTACGTGTTCAGGGAAGACGCATTTGATGGCATGGGGCTGCTCATCCTGCTGCGGCTTTGGAGAGTAGCCAGAATCATCAATGGTACATACATTACTTGCCTTTAAATTATGACAGCACTTGATATTTTATGTGTTGTGAATAAAAAAAACAAAAGTTGCATATCACACTTCACAACTAATTCAATAATGAAAGACCACCACACATCTTATGTAAGGAAAAGGTTGTATCTTAAACATTTCCTATTGTTCTCACCTGGGGCTGATTCTGACTATAAAGCTTATAGTGGTTACATTGATTCAGGGAAGTGTTACTAACTCCTCCCTCTAGGGCTGGACAAACCTCAAAACAGAACACATCCGAGCTGCATGATTACAATGATGATGAGTATAATTAGCACATGGCTAAGACATGTAATTTTGTATGGTCTTTGCAAAGACATTGGGGACTAAAGATGAGCTATACATCATCTGAATTGGGGATAATGTCTCTTGATTTGAGTAAATTTTGAAGATTCGTCTCAAATCACGGATTTTCGCATCATAACGATTGGTCAGAAATATTGCAATTAGATATTGCGTTGCATTGTGTTGATAGGGTGACAGTAGCTCAGTTGGTAGAGCATTGGCCTTTGAGCCTGAAGGTCGTGGGTTCGAGCCCACCATAAGACTTACTTCACAACTCCCACTGATTGCTGTCGTTGTGTCCTTGGGCAAGACACTTAACCCCACTTTGCCTGAAGCCCCCGCTGAAAGATCTCAGCTCCTGTGGACTCACCACCTGCAGGAGGATCAGTGAGAGGCTGGTGCTCTGTGAACTGGGTGCAGCTCTGACTGCCACCCCCCGACCCAGAAATGGATTAAGGGGAAGAAAATGGATGGATGGATATTGCGTTGCATATATTGCATAAATTCAGCAATCGTAAATGTGTTTCCAACCTAATTTTTGTCCCACACTGGATGGACAAAAATGTGAAGTATAGTATAAATCATAACAGCCAAGAGTTACACATGTGACTTGTTCCTCAGGGGTCCTGGTGTCGGTGAAAACTCGTGCAGATCAGAGACTCCACAAACTGAAGGAGAGCTACGACCACCTGGTCCAGAGAGTCACTGAGCTTCAGGCGCGCACCGACAAACTGGTGAATATAGTGTTTATTATTCATACTACTATGCGTTTATGTAAACTGCAGAATAGCCTGATTAGATCATATTTGAATTATTGTCTATATTACCTAAAGAAATACTTCTCATTGCTCTGATTCTCTGAATGTTTCTAGGAAAAAGAAAACCAGACACTTCAAGCACTGCTGAAAAATAACAACATAGATTTCTAGATGAAGAATACTTTTTTTTCCAAGTCATTTAATGACTTGCTTGGTGTATATTTGATTCTTTGAGAAGAATTCTGCATTAGCAATTCAATGCTTTGATGAAATTATTTTTGTCCCATTATTTCTTGAAGAAGGGATTCTGTATGAAGTATAATTACCAATAACTTGAATATTTTCTATTTGTAGAAATACATGGTATTTCTTTGTAAATAGTCTGAAATTATCAAAACATGTATATATAAAAAATCACAGATTTATTTACAATAAAATAAATATGTTTTCAATCATTAAAGCATCAGAATCTATTTACACTATTTGCACATTATATTAGCTACCATTAAACCGTGTTACACCTGAAAATGTATTAAACAAAGGGGAAGAAAAAGTCAAAAGGCAGCTTGGCATCGATTGTAGGCATGGCCCTGTATCCAGGAGCAGCAGGAGCAGACACAGAGGTAAAAGACACGGACGTTTGAACTGGTAAAATACTGCTTCCTCCAGACAGCAGGGCCTGCGTGCAGAGGACTGGACATCAACATTCTCATAGATTTACACATTTAGTATGGTCATCTGTTTTCTTACCAATTGACTGGAGTTGGTTTGAATTATTTCTCTGACACTCACAATCTGTGCTTGGGGGTTCACCAGGGTTCCATATTTGGTCCATTCAATTTCCATATGTAGTGACAGAGGAATGCCACAGCCTTGGGAATCCTGAAAATTAAATGACATACAAAGTATGCAGAGATCTATCAATATATTTGTAATCAATATATTTTCTATTTTACCTGAGGATTAAATGTTCTCTTGATAGCCACCCAGTCTAGTGGTTTCTCTAACGGAGAATTTCCAAAGGATGCCACAAATTGAGGATAATTTTGCCCTCTTAGAATATGTAGTAACACTTCAGAGATTAGGCTGCAATTTGTTACATCAACCAGTCTACAGGAAGACAAAATAAGTTAAAAATAGGCAGATAAATCCAGTACAGTTAATACATGGGAGTGACCTGCCTTAAAGTACATCCAGTTATAGAATTGTGGCCGAATAAAATGGGAGATCGCAACTGTGGACCCTGCAAACAGTCCTGATTTACAGAGCTTTGCAAAAGAGACAATGTGTCTTTGGGATTGATGCTTTGAGAAAGACCTGTGATAGTTAGTTAGGAAATGTGTACTAAAAATGTGATTTAGGAACGAACACCACAAAAATAAAGGACAATAATTATCTTTTCATTTAATAGAAAAGGATATTCTGGATTTTTGTACCCAGCTACAAGAGGCAATCCAACCACATAGCCAGGGTTACCACTGAACTGGACTGCAACCTCTGGTCCGTCCTATGAAAACAAAACATGAAATAACTTCTATCAGAAGACCAAATGATCCTCGTTGGATCTTATAACTTACTCGAGCAAACGTGATCTCATAGTTTTGTTCAAAAGGTACTTGAGTGTCTCGGACCGATCCGAGCACCAGAGATGCAGCCACATGGACTATTTCTCCAGCGAGGTCGTACTTGACCACGTATGCAACCTGAATCAGACCTGTTGTCAGCCGCAGACTGGATAATGTAAGTGTCACACATGGTCATTCTTACCTCAAACACCACATTAGCACATACACTTGGGCTCTGAAGAACAGGAAGAAGATCTCCATCTAACTGCAACTCCAACTGAACACCGTCCAAATACTGATTCACTACCGAGGTTACTTCCACAGGAACGGGCTAAAACAGAATCATAACTTAATTGAAGATGTAATTGGATACTGTTATTGTTAGAAATGGGGGGCTAATGTAATTGATTTCGCTTTTTTTTTGGTTAGCCAATACTTGCGTCTTCTGTGTAATTCCTTTTGTATTATTTGACATGGCCAATATGTCACAAACACCCACAACAGCATAATACTTACTGCTGCATCAGTAGACCTCCCCTGTAATAACAAAAACAGATTTGGTGAGCTTCACCGTGGGGAGAAACAAGATGAATTCATGTTTAAATACACGGTGAAAGTATGCAGTCATCTTTATTGTGCCTTTCACAGACTAAATTTTTATCTCTTTCTGAGATTTTACTTCAGCCTTTGTAGAAAGTAATATACATAATTTAGAAGAATGACCTTTTCTTGTGACATTAAGCCACTAAAAAAATAAATTACTTAAAAAAACAATTTTGTATTCTACATAGTTCTGATTTCCACTGTACTTGTACATATAGATTTCTCTCGTCCATGATACATAATAGAGTTTTACAGGGTCTTACAGGAGAGAGTAGGATGTTGATGTACGTGTCCATGCGCAGAGCTGCCATGTGCTCACAGTGCTGCTGGATGTTCATGCGTCTCAAACAGCGACCGCTCCATTTGTTCAGAAAAGCTGTAGGAATAAGCACAGTTCGATAGGGTATATCCTCAGTAAACAAAGTAAGTAAGTACGTAAGTAAGTATTTATTTATATACCGCCTTTTCACTGCAGATCTGAGTCTCAAAGCGGTTTTACAATTGTTAATTTTTCTTAACAATTGTTAAGTATTCACATAATAGTGGGTGCAGTTTTTGTGGCTTGCTCTTTGAAAAGCAATCGAGAGTTATTTATCACAAGTTGACTTTTTACAGAAATTTGATATGAAATGGACAAAAGGTGCAGCCATGAAACTTAATAGGGGAGGACTACTCAAAATCAATGTAAGAACTATGTAGGAAATTGTTTGTTGGAAGCCAGGTTGCTGTATAGAAAGTGTCCTGGATTCATTACAAAATGCTATTGAACATAACTGAAAAACGTATTCTGTTGATTTTATTTATGTATTTATTTATTTGAAAAGGAGGGACAATACATATTAATGAACATTTTCACAAATGTAAATATGCCAGATTATAGCCTTAGGCTAATTTCCATCTGCAGACCCCCTGGCAGGTTGGTGTTAAGCATAGGTTAGTAAAAACATACAGAGACACTATATACAGACTATGTACAGAGAGACAAGGACGAGTACAGTGATCACTTGTTAGAACAAACAATAAAAAGAGTGGACAACAAAGGACAATATAGAAAAACAGTAACGGGAAAGCATCGACTGTATTGCACAAACCCCAATATTGCACATAACCTGACAGACCCAATATTGCACTGACCCATATTGCACCATTCTATATTGCACTGACACGCATTACACTAACCCCCATTGTATAACCCATGCCCAACAGACTCCCATTGCACAGCCCGTATGACACTGATAATTGCATCCCCTTTAGTAACTATCATCATTAACTAAACATGATCACATGTTTGTGTGTCCCTCAGCCACACTTTTAAATGACTCCTAAAGGTAGGGAGACTTGTGCTTTCCCTCACAGACAGTGGAATACTATTCCAGAAGCTCACTCCCTGATATGACAGGACATTCTGTGAAAAGCTGGTCCGCCTAAATGGCAATTCACAATCACTTCTCACAGTGGCTCGAGTCACTCGAGACCCGGCACTGATAGACTTTTGTTTAATAAAATCACTCAATGGTGGAGGCGCCAGACCATGTATGACCTTGTAGATTAGACAGGCTGATTTAAATAATTTAAAATTAGCAAAGTTTAAAAACTTATATTTATCTATAATTTGACAATGGTGGATGAAGGTTTCTTGTCTAATATTTTCAATGCTCTTTTGTAGCATACTTCGATTGGCCCAATAGCAGCATGACTCGTATAGGACCAACTTGTGATACAATACTCAATATGAGCCAGTATCATAGAGTGCAGGAATGTAATCGCTGCTGTATCCGTTAATGATGTTCGAATATGTCTGAAGTTCCGTATATTAACATTTACAGTTTTCACTACTTTTTTAATGTGTTTTTTGAAGGATAATTTTGAGTCTATTAGCACTCCTAGATACCTAAATTCCTCAACATTAGTTAATTCTTGTCCACCCAAGCAAACTTTTACTGCGGCCATTGTTGTTTTAGGTTTACTAAAAAACATTGATACAGTCTTTTTAACATTAAGGCACAGGCATGAATCATTCAGCCATTTTTGTAGATCATTTAAGGCTATTGAGAGCTGCATCATCAGCACTTTTGGCTTGTGTAAAAATTACCGTATCGTCGGCATACATAATCGTGTCCACATTTTTGCATACGTTAGGCAAGTTATTTACATAAAGTGAAAATAGCAGGGGACCTAAAATTGATCCCTGAGGGACACCCTGTGTATAGTAAAGATAGGGTGACTTACTATTCTTTATTTGCACACATTGTTTTCTATCTGATAGGTAAGACTGTATCCATTCAACGGTTTGATTACTAAGGTTAAATGTTGACAGTCTAGACAAGAGCTTAAGGTGATTCACAGTATCAAACGCACGCTTAAAGTCAATAAAAACAGCCGCAACATAACTGTTTTTGTCTAGATAAGACTTCACCTTTTCAACAAAAACACAGACAGCTGTTTCAGTTGAGTGAAGAGATCGAAATCCAAATTGCATAGGATGCAGACCTGGATTGGAATCATTAAGGTGTTCGATAATAGAGTTAGCAACCCACTTTTCTGCTATTTTTGAGAAGATAAGGAGTATGCTAATAGGTCGATAATTAGCAGGGTCTGATTTATCACCTGATTTATAGATTGGTATCACTTTTGCCACTTTCCAACTCAGAGGAACGACTGCCTGCGAGATTGATAAATTAATAAGATGGGTCACAGGCACCAAGATACAAGGTTTATAATTTTTCAGAAGATTAGAATCAAATCCAAACTCATCCCTTGCTTTAGAACTTTTCAATTTAGAGATTATGTTTTCTACTTCATATTCTGTAATTTTTTGGATATTAAACTTTGAATTTTGAGTTGAGGCATCCATATGGGAGTTGGTGTTGCCAATATTTTGTTGAGAGTCACAAGAATTAGAAAACAGTTGCGCAATATCATTAATGGTACTTTGGAAAAAATCATTTAATTTAGTTGCTAGACTGAGAGGCTCTGATACCAATTCATTGCCAAATTTGAGTTCAAGGTCTTTATCAGCATCGTGCTTACTTTTACCAAGGAGTTTGTTAATATTTTCCCAAATTTGCTTACAATTTCCTTTAGCACTATTAATTATGGTCATGAAAAAATGTGCTTTTCTCATTTTCAAAGTTTGGATGACTTTATTCCTTGCCGATATAAAATTTAATCGATCAGTAGTTAATCCAGATTGTTATGATTTTTTAAGTAATTTGTCTCTGAGTCTCATAAGCTGTTTACACTCACTATTGATCCAAGGCAAGGAATAAACTCGTTTCTTTAAATAACCCTCTTTCTGAAACCGAGACAAAACCCCTTTAATAGAGGAGTATAGTAGATCACAACATTTATTAGTGTCGTCACAGGATAGTATGCTGGACCAATCAAGATTATTTAGAGCTGCAGTTAAACGTTGTACTTGGCTTTTTGGAATAAATGTTTGTTTTATATTAGTGCTTTTACTGACACTTCTCAGTCGCTTTTTAGTTAACTTTCTAGAGAAGAATATGGCATTGTGATCAGACAAGCCAGTCAAGAAATTATATGTTTTTATCATTCTGTCTGGTTTGTTAGTGAACACCAGGTCTATTAGAGTTTTAGAGCAATTTGTTATTCTAGTAGGATCGCTGATCATTTGTGTTAGACCAAAATTATCTGTAATTTCTTTCAATTTCTTTCTATCACTTTTGTGATCCCAATTTACATTCAAGTCTCCCATTAGAATAACTTCATTATTAAAGTCACAACAATTCAGAAGTGCCTTAAATTGGTCATAAAAATCTACTTTTGCTGAAGGCGGGCGATAAAGACATAAAACAGTAAATGACATTTCTGCTGAGAGGGACACTTTAACTCCAACACATTCAATTGGGATTTCATTAGGCCAAATTACTTGTGTACATTTTAGAGAGTCCTTCATATACAATAACACCCCTCCCCCCTTTCCTTGATGCCTATCCTTTCTAAACACATTGTAGCCTTGTAATGTTACCAGTGCATGTGGGGAAGAGGGTTTGAGCCAAGTTTCTGAAAGTCTGTACAGACTTGATGACTGTACATACCTGCAGGGTTTGTATCCACACAGTCCACAGTAATACCAGAGGAGGGAAGATAGAAAATACTTCTCTGCCCATCGGCTGCTGTAGTTTGCATAATATCCCCATACTAAAGCCACACACAAGAAACTTCACTTATTTGGATGTTTGATGTCAAAAGTGTGAAAGTCAGTAGAACTCTACTCACCTGATAACCTGCTGATGTCTGTGGCTCTGTGTCAGAGCGACCTGTCTCTGGGTTAAATGTAAAGCTGCTGAACTTGTCAAAAAGTGCGTCAAAGTTTCTGTCAGTTGGAAGAGCCGGTGGTGGGTGGAACAGTCCATCAACCCCTAAAGTACAGGTGGAACATTTATTTTGAACTTACATGGTTTAAAAGTTCATGGATAATGCATGCAACTTACCATTTTGAAAATAAATGCAAAACGTATCATAATTCTTCTCATTCTGGATGGATGACTGCAGCTCTGAGTAACCATCGATTGTGGTTCTCAATGAGTAAGAGGCCACATCCTGGTTGCAAAGTCTCTTGCTGCCTCTGAACACCATCAGATAAACAATGTTGTTTTGCTGTTAGTTATGAGTTTCAAGGTGTTTTCAGAATGACCATTATTGATTATTTTACCTGACAGTGTGTGTGGAGCAACGGATGAACAGAGCCAGCTCAGGACCACAGTCTTTGTCACAGCAGCAGTTCATGTCACACATGTCATTGTGCAGATCACAGGGACACACCTCTGACACTGAAAAACAATGTGCATGAGGTTCAGCTCCCTGTTTATTGCAAAATGTGTTGGAGTCACTTTAAAATTCAAGAATCAAGGATGTCTGAAAATGGTAATCACTATGGCAATAGCCCTCATATTTAATCTTCCAGAAACACACCAAAAGTAGACAAAAATACCCTGAATTAGGGTCAATATGACCCAGGGCTAGCTAGAAAAAAGCATCAAAATTCAGCACGACATTTTTGTATTTCGGGTATATTTTAATTAGCTACTGTAACGTGTCAATATGACCCGGGGAGATAACAAGGTGTCAGGATTCAGCAGGGTTAAAAAAACAATCTCCTCTATCCACATAATAGATCCATGTCTATCCCCTGTAACAAGCTCGCACACCACTTTGAGCCTTTCCAGTTAGTGCTGTGAACTTAACAATGCATTGAAAAACATCAACAATTACATTTGAAACAGTAGCATAAATGCAGGATCGTTACAATTTGTTTAAAATGTGTAATAAACATGTTACCACTAGTGGGAGGCTGAAGCAAGCGGCCGGAGAAGGGCAACGGGTCCTGGGGCAGCTCTGGTTCTGGTGGTTCGGTGCTGGTGGAGGATATTGTGTTTGTTGTGGACTCAAACTGCGTGGGTTCTGTTGTTGTAAATACTTCTGTTGCATTAAACGTGTCGTCCTGATCAGGATATACTGTCGTGTTTAAGCTGTAAGTAGTGTTATTCTCAGTAGCAATTAACAAACTGTTCATTAAAATATATAAAAGTACAGAGTAAATCAGCACAGTGGAGGAGGCCGCCATCTTTGTTTGACGGTTGCTATGGTTCTTCTAAGTCATTATGATCACGTGCTCCCCCTGTTGTTTGGGAGGTAATAATGAACAAACATGAACGAACCATAGACTGAACGAACACACCGGTCCAGACCATAGACTATGTCCAGGCATGTCCAGAACGTAATTGTATATTTGTACCACTCAGATATAATGACCGAGAGTACTGACCACCTCGAGCTCATATGAAACGCTTAGTACAAATATATCTAGAATTACAGACACTAATTTGTTTTGGAAAGCAAGGGTTTTCCTATACTCGTTTTATAAGCATGCACCACACTTCTGAATTAATGAAATAATTGTTTTCCCTTTTTGTGATTATTATTCATAACTTAATCTATACATTTGTATTTGTCTAAATGGTGATGATTTGTGCATTGTGTGGTGTGGACTGTGAGGCGCTTTGTGTTGCCCTGTGCAGGAAAAGCGCCCTATAAATAAAGATTGATTGATTGATTGATAAATTCCTTGCGATATACCATAAGCAGGTCTATGACTATGACCATCCAGAACCATGGACCCATCCCATAGACCAGCCATTCCCAAACTCAGTAACACCGAGGCCCCCTTAAAAATGTGACGGGTCTGCGTGGCCCCCCAAAATAATAACAAAGAAGACAACATTAAGAATAGGCTCTTCTGGTTATTTTATTTTGGGGAAATAGCCTCTGCTACAAACATTGTAATACAAAAATGATTACAGTGGATTATTCAAGTCAAATAATGAACACAAATATTTTAATATTACAAACAAAACATTATAAATTTAACATTAAATAATTTATTTTTTATTTTTTATGACCTCCCGCGGCCCCCCTGCAGTACCCTCGCGGCCCACCAGGGGGCCGCGGACCCCATTTTGGGAGACACTGCCATAGACTGTATATATTAATCATCCACACGATTAAATATCAGGATGGCAAGGAGATTTTATCACCTTTGTCCACAAGATGGCAGCCGTGTACTGTAAACATTTAGTTCCTCTCGGTTTTAGTGTTCCCGCGGTTCGCAGTCAATGATAGCTACACATATATAAATACACAAGGTACGTAAGCTAGTCCTATTTGCAATTAAATTACACTGCAATTAAATTAAATTAATTTTTTCATAAATATAAGCTAAACACCAACAGCACTCACTGAGCACAAACATTGGACACAATCCTCAATCATGACAAGTTGTTCTCAAACTGTCAACATCGAATGTGGTGGAAATTATGGAACTGCACAGTGGGTAAGTATCCCTATTTGAAGACGTTTTTGCTGTAAAATATGTTTTTTTTTAAATTGCCCATGGCCATGCAAGAGACATTATGTCAATTTTTAAATCGGCCTGAATTTGTGAAGTGTTGCACTTCGTGGTCTAATGGTGTCTGCTTTTTCTGACCTTTCCTGGACTTGTCATCACAAGTCTATCATGTACACTTCTATGTTGAGCAGATGTATCCATATATTTAGCTTTGTTTAGTCACACAATTCCATTCCATTACCCCCCGTTGTTCTGCATAGGTCTATCTGCAGACTCTCCTCACTCTGATGAATTTAGTCTGCCCGTGTGTGTGTGTGTGTGTGTGTGTGTGTGTGTGTGTGTGTGTGTGTGTGTGTGTGTGTGTGTGTGTGTGTGTGTGTGTGTGTGTGTGTGTGTGTGTGTGTGTGTGTGTGTGTGTGTGTGTGTGTGTGTGTGTGTGTGTGTGTGTGTGTGTGTGTGTGTGTGCGTGTGCGTGTGCGTGTGTATTTTAACTGTCTGCTCGGCCTCTGAAGAAAGAACACACAGGTTATCACAAGGTCACCACCTCTCCCACAGTGCATGTGTGAGACTGTGGTTTGGTGCAGCAAGAGGAAGGAACTCTAATTAGAGCATTAATTAAGAAGCAAACTACTTATTGAATAAACCCAAGTGGTCATTAGCACAGCCCACAGTGAGTGTCTATTTTATTTTGGACACAGGACCTTTATGCTGGATACAATCCTGGATCTTAGGTCTGTCATGGGAGTGGATCCCTCTTTCACAGAAGGCCTCCCTGAGGTTTCCCGATCTTACTCCAACTGGGATTTGACTTTTCCTTGCTGATGCTGGACAGTTGATGATCCAGGACATTTATGGAGCACTTAAAACTTTTACTTGTTTTATTATTGTATTTTGATTTTGGAAAATACAAAAAAAATGGTCTGATTCAGTTTAGTTTAGTCTGTTAGAAAGTGACAATGCACATCAACTTTAAGCTCAAAGGCAAATATCTTCTCCACCAGATTGTAACTAGACAGCCATAGTTTGCATATTTAGTCGTGATTTTGACTGCACTCTTGCCTCAAAGTCAAAAGATCCGGGCTATTCTGCCAAGAGATTCTTCTTATTATGTGGCGGGTCTTCACATTATTAAGGCCTTGATTCCGCCCATCAACCCAACCTTCTCATTAACACATTCAGTTGTCTGTATGTTTGTATAGCTCAAGATCTGGAGATGTCTTCCTGTGCTGTGGTGCTCAGATCTTCAGGCCTGTGAGCTTGAGAGTTCTGAACACCGTTCCCAGATACAGTATGCCCCTTTTCTGAATCATTGATGGCTGAAGTGTTTCCTGAAATCTGTATTACAGGACATTGAGGTGGTAAAGTTACAAATACCTGGGAGTCCACATGGACTACAATCTAGCAGTACCAGGTGAATGTTGAACATAATAATGCTGAAAGGAGGAATGCCTGAGGAGGCCAAGGTCTTTTGATGTGAGCACTAAGATGTTTCATATCCTTCACCAGTCTGTAATAGCTAGTGCTAGTGCGTTTGCTTTGGGTTTGTATGTTGGGGCAGCAGTCTGGCCTCGAGAGCAAGGAGCCGGTTGGACAACCTGATCAGGAAATGTGTTTCTGTGATGGGGAGAAGTGTGGGCTCTGCAGGAGCTGTACTTCAGACGGAAGGATGAGGGCTTTCATGCTGGGCATTCTGCGTAACTCCAGACATCCACCAGAGTATCTTGGCTCAGCCTTTCTCTTTTGGAGGGGTATCCAGTCCATTCATGTTCTACATGGTGTCTGTATTTATGAGCTTTCTGCCAATATCTTATACCCTGCAGTTTTGCGCTGGATTAGCCTTAAGGTCTATGTTCAGTCTCCACCTAGGCTCTTGTGTGCTGGGCATATTTGCTTCACAACTATACTACTACTATTTTCAAGCTATTCAAGATGATTTGTCTTACCTTTTAGTGCCAGTCCAAACAACAAGCTTGCAAACACGTTTCAGCCTTGTTATGTACAGTGCATGTGTTGCATTGCAGTGTATCATGTCCAGGTGCTCCAAAGCTGCACCCCTGCCCTGCTAATCCTGTTGACCTGGGCATCTCTCTGTCTCTTCCTCTGTCTATCTGTGCTCTTATCGCTGCATCAGGCCATCTAGGTCTATACTGTTACTTTACACACACGCTCCTCTCGTTCTTCTCTGATACGGCTGTCCTTCACTTTAGGGTCAAATACCTAATGTGATCTTCATAGGACGCTTTCGAACATTTGTGATGTCCAAAATGATGTAATAAGGAACTTGTTAGTGCAGCAAATGATCAAAAGGATTGGCTATAAATGTTAAATTATATCTAAATGTTATCTCAAATCAACTTTTCAGTGCTGTGTGTCCCTATGAGTCAGTCTGTCATCTGTGGATCCTGATAGCATCACGTTATCTTCTTCTCAAATTAAAACTGCAGCAGCCCAATGCCCTTCACTCACACCTACGATTGTGTGTGCGTGTGTGGAGGTCATGGTGTTACTTTTGTCTTCAAACTAAAATAAGTCAGGCTAAACCGGTGGAAGCTTTATAGTGAGGCAAAGCGCACACCATCCATCCATCCTCTACCCTTTAATCCATTTCTGGGTCAGGGGGGTGGCATTCAGAGATGCCACCCAAGTCTCATAGCACCAGCCCCTCACTGATCCTCTGCAGGTGGTGAGTCCACAGGAGGACGGCTGCTCTCTGAGTGTGAGCATAGCCTTGATCTTTCAGTGGGGGCTTTGGGCAAAGTGGGGTTAAGTGTCTTGCCCAAGGACACAACGACAGCAGTCATCAGTGGGAGTTGGTGGAGAAGGTGTAGAGGTGGGAATTGAACCCACGACCTTCAGGCCTGAAGGCCAATGCTCTACCAACTGAGCTACTGTCGCCCCCACACATTAGTTGGAAATTTCAACCTACTGCACATAAAGTTACAAATACTGTTCAGTTCTGGTTGTAACTAAATCATCTCTCAACGCTTCAGCTGTATCCTGAACAATCCCTCAAATCCAGATCAAAACAATCCTGTTTGTATGAATGTAACTTCCTTTCTTGTTTTGTAAAGCACATATATATAATGTATAAATATGCTTTGTATTAATAGGGTCAGAGTCAACCCACAGAATCTTTTAGATCTGTCTTTTCTTTTTGACAACAAAATGTGGCTGCAGGAGCTTTTGAAACTATATTAAACACCAATAGGTTTATAAAGCACATTTCAAAAATCTTAATGGCATTGTACAGTATTAGTTTTTTGAGAGTTTGAAAAGTCAAACAACAAAATCCTGTATGAACTTGAAAATAAATGAAGTGAAAAAATGCATTTAGTCTAGTTTAGTTTATTCACAATTTCACACAAATCCGAGGCCATGGTGCTCGACCGGAAAAAGGTGCCTTGCCCTCTCCAGGTGGGTGGAGAGGTCCTTCCTCAAGTGGAGGAGTTCAAGTATCTCGGGGTCTTGTTCACGAGTGAGGGAAGGATTGAGCGTGAGATTGACAGGCGGATCGGTGCAGCGTGCGCAGTGATGCGGTCTCTGTATCGGACCGTTGTGGTGAAGAGGGAGCTGAGCCGAAAGGCAAAGCTCTCAATTTACCGGTCAATCTTCGTTCCCTCCCTCACCTATGGTCATGAGCTGTGGGTAATGACCGAAAGGACAAGATCGCGGATACAAGCGGTCGAAATGAGCTTTCTCCGCAGAGTGGCTGCTCCCTTAGAGATAGGGTGAGGAGCTCAGTCACATGGGAGGAGCTCAGAGTAGAGCCGCTGCTACTCCATGTCGAGGGGAACCAGTTGAGGTGGCTCGGGCATCTGTTCTGGATGCCTCCTGGACGCCTCCCTGGGGAGGTGTTCCGGGCACGTCCCACCGGGAGGAGGCCCCGGGGAAGACCCAGGACACGCTGGAGGGACTATGTCTCTCAGCTGGCCTGGGAACGCCTTGGGGTCCCCCCCGGACGAGCTGGAAGGAGTGTGTGTGGATAGGGAAGTCTGGGCGTCTCTGCTTAGACTGCTGCCCCCGCGACCCGGCAACGGATGAAGCGGAAGAAAACGGACGGACAGACAATTTCACACAGTCCCTAAAAGGTTCATGTGCTGAGTGTTTCTTTGTGAGTGCGAATGTGGGACAACGGATGCAAATTAGCCCATTGCTACAATCCGGAGTGATGTGTTCATTAACATGTACTGTCCCAACCAAAATAAACAATGAATAAATAAATACATTGTGAAAATGGAACTCCCAGAAGCGCAGGAATATACAGTAGGGGTCCACCACACCATCACCGCCACCACATACAATCTACCAGCCATATTCAGTGGGGAAAAAGTAATAATAAAAATTCCACAGTGCACCCAGATACATAATAATAAAAAACTTACCATAGTGCATGAAGTTCCTTGCCCAAAAACACAATGGTTATTTGTGCTAAACAGTGATAACCATTACTGCAGCTCTGATTTCTTATTTATGTTTATATTTTGAATGTTATCATTTATTGAATCAGATGGAAAGTTATGGTTCTCGTATAACACTGCCAAGAGCATCACTGAACAATAATTGCTAATCATTGAATCTGCTGGGGTGAGTCAATGCAGCATTAGTGAGTTCAAATAGCACCTGTGCAGTATTGATCCGTTTATAAAATATGTAATCACTCTAAACTGTGCCGGCATCTCATAATCTGGACAAGCTCACTTCTATAGACTTCACCAACTTGAATACATACACAGTGAATGAACACACATCCATATCCCAGTCACTCAATCAAATATGGAGTCTCCATCATCACTAAGACCTTGGCATTGCCAGATTTCCATCCAGTTATTACTGGTTATTACCGCCGATGAAAATATAAAAACCTGAGCGTTGATTTACCCTCCACAACGGCATCTGCAAACCTCAGCTCATTTCAATCACAAACGGCAGCATCTTGATTTACACCGCCCACTGTTTTAATAGAGCGAGCCATGGTCAAATTTAAACTAGCCCAATTAATCAACTAAACATTCAATATCTTCCATTCAGCAGACACCCACGCCTTCTCAATATGAATTTTCCAGGAGATTTCTTTATTGATCGACAGACAGATGATTTGTGAGATACATTGTGCGGGCGGATCAATAGATGACCAGTCAATAGCTCATAGGGAGAAATAAACTGTGGTGACACGAAGGCCACAAAGTCAAGTCTGCGCAGTCACACTCAATTATTTTTAGAAATGAAGACAGATGTGTGTGCAGGTCACTGTTGGTTCG